TCGAACCCAGGGCCTCATGCATGCAAGGCAAACACTCTACCACTGAGCCACCTTCCCAGCTTCACAATTGTGTTGTTTTAAGTTCCCAAATGTGTACTTTCCTGCCGCAGCCATAGGGAATTCCTGCAGAAATGAATACATCCGTGTGTATGTGTGTGTGTGCCAGTACTGGTGCCACTGATGCCTGGCCCCTGAACTTCTCTGTGACCTAGTTGTAAGTATCCTCGTCCTCCTGATGCTGCATGGCTTCTCAAGTCTGAGCTCATGCATCTATGTAGAGCCCTAAGCTTCTAAAACCTTTCACTGGGTCCTGCTTCTTCTTCTGCCTGCTCCTCCTCCTTCTGCACTCTGCCTTCCTTGATTGTTCAGCCTTCAGTTTTTCCCTATGGGAAGGTGTTGTCCTTACTGGCACAATTGCACAGGGTAGTTTTTTTTTTAAATAACAGTTTTATTTAGGTATAATTTGCATATCATAAAATCCACTCGTTTAAACTAACCCAACTCAATGGTTTTTAGATCTATTCAGCATTGCATATTTGTCACCACAATCTAATTCCAGGACAACTTCATCACCTCACTTAGCAGTCCCTGTTAGTGGTCTCCTTCCTGTCTACCTCCTCAAGCTCTGGCAATAGCTCCCTCCTATCTCTGGGACAGCGGTGCCTCTCCTTGTCTGTCTATCACTGACCTTTGGACCCAGTTCTCAGCATTTCCTAAGTGCCACTTGCTCACATACATGATCTTATGTGTGCTCAGAGTTTGTGCTAATGGAATCCTTTAACTCACATACGTAAAAAAAAAATAATAATCCAGGCAGCAGATTCCCGGAGATGTGACAATCCCTCTAATGCCCCCACTTGTAAGGAAACTTCCACCTTGTCTAATAAAACCAAACCCCAACTGCCAGGTAAACAGAGCAGCTTCCTAGCAGCTGGAATGGCTGCTGGGGGCTTGGAGCAGACAGGGCTGTGATTACACTGTGGTTTGACAAAGGTTGCTCTGTGCAGCGTGTGGGGGGGGGAGGGAGGAGGGCAAAGCTGCTGAAGGGAGACCCTGTCTTCTTGTGGTCATGGCTGCGGTCCTCGCAGCAGGCACTCGCTCAGGCCGCCCCTGCAGGATAAATGGGAGTGGAGATAGGGTGTACAGGTGCCAGGCCTGGCCTGCACCAGGTGACACTGGTTCTCTCCAGTGGGCAGGGACTGGGCAGGGGGAGGCCAGTGGGGAGGAAGGGGGCTGAAGGACCAGTGCCCCAAATCCATGAGGGAAAAGTGTTGGGGACAGGAGGGCGTGGGTTCTGGTCACTCTGTAGGAACGGGATGGACCCTATCTGAAATTGGCCTTGATTGTGGAGACTAAAGGTGTCAGTTTCCATGGACAAGAAGATATGGGAAGTTTTGTCCCTCACCAAAGGAGGTGTTCTGCAAGCACAGGTCAGCCTTCCACGCTGGTCTGCATTTGGCTTGAGGGGGAAGGAAGGGAGCACTGGGGACAGGGCTCAAGTGGTAGCACTAAAGAGGGCCAGGAAGGAGAGTGCTTGAGCTTTCACAGAGTCTGAGATGGGAGCAGGTGGCAGGGACGGCAGCATGGACCGTTGCTGTCGGAAGGCAGCAGTGCCATGCAAGGCTGGCAAGGGCTAGATGCGAAGGGACCAAGGAGCTCAGGGCAAGAGTAGGTACAGAGAACGTAGGGGGGGAAGCAGGGGAAGGAGGAAGAAGGTGTGTGCCACGTGACATGTGACATGGAGCTGAGTGGAGGGAGGGAAGTTGCTAGGTAGAATGATGAGGGGGTGTTGGACTGTGGTGAGGAAAGGCTGCCGGGAAGGAAAGGATGATTGTGAAGTACATGGGATTTTCCTGGGGCCCCTGTCAAAGCCCAGCCCTTCCTCCGTACCCCAAACACCTCTCCTCCTGTGCCTCATCCTTTAGCTTTAGCGTCAAAGTCCAATTGCTTGAAATGAGTCACTCACTCATGTGATAACAGCATTGGGAGGCGGTGGCTGGCTGTGGCTTAATCAGCACCAAGCGCTTGTGAGGAGAGTTAGGTAAGAAAGTGGTGGGCTACAAACAGGCTTCTTGGTAGGATTGCCCCCCCCCATATTTGTTCAGTGTCTTCTTGACGCTCAGCGTGGGGCTGAGACCTGGGCTTCAACCCCCACCCAGAGTTCACTGTGTGAGCAAGGGGTGAAGGTGTCAAGAGGATGGGAATAGGGATGACAGAGGTGACAGGTGGCAGCAAAGCGGGGGGAGGGGTGAACCCCATGGTGGGTAGTGGCTGCCAGTAGGAGAGGAGACCCTGCTTAGAGGTTTGCTGGCTGTGGTTGATGGGTTGTGAATTAGTCAGTTATCAACCACTGTGCCAAAGCCGTCTGCCAGACGAGTGCCCTGTGACCCAGGGCTTTAAAACTTAAGGTGCTCACCAAGTCATTCCCTCGAGTAACATCTGCAGGCACCCATTACTTGCTGAGTCCAGACTCTTCACACCACAAATGCCCAGGGGAGAAGGAGGAGGTCTCAGAGCACCATTTAACAGGCAGGCCAGCCTAGAGGGGATGAGAGTATTAGTTGTGTGGAGGTGGGTGAATGTATGTGTGCTGGGAGTGTATTATGTGTATGGGTGTGTTATGTTGGAGGAGTGAAAAGCTGGGGGACAGTGGTGTGATTCGCCAAAATCTACCACCCCATTAGAGAATGTGGACTTAAATCTGCCAGATCCAATGACTATTGGCTATGCACAGGGAACTTTTTGGTAGAGCACACGACCAAATGGCTTTGACCAGATGGGCTGAAGGGAGGTGGGAGTTGTGACTGCTGCCCAGTTTCCGGTATCAGGCAGGGGAGAGAATGCAGCTGTTCCCAGCTTGGGGACAGACAGCACAGGGGGCCAGTAGCCCTGAGCCCCTCCACAAAGGCACACACATACACACAGGCAGAAAAAGCAAGCTGGGAAGAAGGATGTGGAGCCAGAATCCCTTGCACAGATCCAGACGCTGGACTGGAAGGCCATCACCTGTGCCAAGAGGTGGCGAGCTGTGCCGTGGAGCCTTCGGATGGAGCCCGTGCCCCCAGTACCTACACTGCAGATTTCTGGCCTCTAAAACTGGCAAGGATTCCCTTCTTTGGTCTGAGGCCATGCACATTGAGGTTTTTTTTTTTTCCACAGACAGCTCTGGACAGCACACGATTCCATTCCCTATCAGCTTTCTTTCATGTCCCTTCCTGCCCCTGTTGCCTCATACCTGGCCTCAGGTCAGGACCAGCTCTGCATGCCACCACTGTCTCCCACCCTTGTGTACTTCCTGGCTGATAGGAAGGTAGGGGCAGGCATGGACATGGGTGTGCAAGAGAGATTTTCAGGGCAGAGCTTGGGCCTTGGGGGTTGGTGATACCGTGAACGAGCAGGTAGCAATGGGGAGCTCAGGCTGTTGTGAGCTCTGGGCCAGCAGGGAGAGACCTAAGTAACCCACCTGAGAACAGGCCCAAGCAAGAGGTCTTCCTCCTGGGCACACAAGGAGGTTAGGTGAAGATAGAGGTGGAGATGGAATGATGGTGCTAGAAGCGCAGGAACAACTCAGGGTAGAAGAAGCTGGAAAGACAAGAAAAATCCTCTAGGAGAGCTGCTGGAGGAAGCACAGCCTTACAGACTTTGATTTCAGATCTCAGGCCACCAGAATTATGAGAGGATATATTTCTGCTAGCTTTTTGTTGTTGTTGTTGTTTTGTTGGTCATGGGGCTTGAACTCTGGGTCTGGGCGCTGTCCCTGAGCTCTTCAGCTCAAGGCAAGCGCTCTACCACTTGTGAGCCACAGCACCACTTCTGGTTTTCTGAGTGGTTTATTGGACGTAAGAGTCTCATGGAGTTTCCTGCCCGGGCTGCTTCGAACTGTGATCCTCAGATCTCAGCCTCTTGAGTAGCTAGGATGACAGGCGTGACCCACCGGTGCCTGGCTTTTTCTTCTTCTTCTTCTTCTTCTTTTTTTTTTTTGGTTGCTTGTGGAGCTTGAACTGTGGGCCTGAGCACTGTCTGTGAACTCTTCACCTCAAGGCTGGCGTTCTACCACTTGAGCCACAGTGCCACTTCCATTTCTGCTGTTTTGCCATTGGTATGTGGTCATTTGTTACAGCAGAAGGACATTGGGAGTGGTGAATTTTGCCTGTGCACATTTCCAGCAGTCTGCAATCAGCAATTATCTGAATGTGTCAGAATGACCTGAGTGAGTGTACCTGGCTTAGGAGTTCCTTTACTGTTCTATGTCCCAAACACTCGAGACACAAATTCCTGTTTGTGAAAGACACAAATGAAATATGGGATGGTGTGAGTCTAGTGTACCACATGCATTTAACAGACATTTATGAAACTCCTACTGCATGTCAGGCGTGAAAGGGAAATAAGAAAACATTCCCGTAGATACTGGGCAGCTCTTAAATAGAGCTGTAGACATCTTTAACGCCACTATTAGGAAAGGATCTCTATATTTTGCACAGCAGTTCCTTTGGGTTTCATACGCTTGTCTGAACGCTAACATCTCCCATTAGTGGCAGCTCAGAAATTGACGCCGAACAGGAATGCCCTCGCCCAGGGTTTGGCAGACGCTGTCAAGTCTCCTCTTCTAAGCCACGCTGGGCCACCGTCCTAGGGCGACACTTTAGTAGGACCGTGAGTATTTGCGGCTCAGGTGTCTGAAGGTGCCTTCGTGCGTCAGTCCTCAAGCCTGAGACTTCCTTGCGTCCAGGCGGCGGCGGCCGCAGGGCTTGTGCTTCTCAGGGGCGGGGCGTCGGCTCCTGGGAGCGAGCAGGTGGAGTCTGGAGCTGGGCTGCATCTCCCGGAGGCGGGGCGTATGTCTCTTAGGCTGAGTGGCATTTGGAGACCAGCGGGCGTGCGCAAAGCCTCTAGGGAGGGTCCGTTTCTGCGCCTGCGCCCGCGCCTGCGCACTCATCCAGCCGCTAGTGCGCAGCCGCGCTTACCTGGGTGGGCGGGCCGGCCCTGCCGGAGCGGGACGCTTGTATAGGCCACTGGAATCCCGGGTTCGGGCCTTAGCGCACCGGCGGTGTTACTCCTTCGAATAGGGGTTCGTGGGGTCACGGGACAGGGCCTCATGGAGGCCGCTAGCACGGACACCTGCGAAAAAGGGGCCGAGGTGTTGGCGGCCGAGGGGTTGCCGGTGCCCAAGGCGAGGGTACACTTCGAAGTTACGAAGTTCATCATGGAGGCAGGTAACTGCTGCTAGAGAAATGGCAGCGCCCACGCAGGTGGGACGTGAAGGCCGCGGGTCTCACACCACACAATCGGAGCCGAGCCCGTGCGTTGCGGAGCAGCCGCTGCCAGGCTGAGGGAACAGGCTTTCTGCTGTGACCCGCCGTAGGGAGACTGGGGGTCCTGGCTCCGAACTGAACACCCTGGTCTTTCCATCCCACCCTACCTCCACGCAGGGTACATGCCGCTACTCCCTTTGCACAGGACTCTCAGGCCAAACGAGAAGATGTAGGAAGATCCAGGCTTCTAGATAAGTGAGGTCCCAGTCAGGGTGCCCGCAGCTCTGTGGGTCCACCAAGCCTTCAGCCATACTGAGAGACTGGCACTCGGTCACCCAAGGCCTTTTTCAGCAGGCTGTTGGGAAGGTCCCATCAAATCGAGGATCCCCAGGGTGCAGCTAAAATTTTGAACTTTGCCTGGCGACCATAATACTGTTAGGCGTCCTTCTTCCTTATGGGGCAACAAGCCCCTGGGATTTCTGTGGAGACACTCGGTCAGTAGTATGCCTTTCAATGTGGCAGTTATTTCCTTACCACTTTGTGTACACTTTGGAAGAGACTGGCTTGAGCGAGTGTGCGTTCATTCAGGGTAGACGGTGCAGGACCCAGCTATTCATAAATTTAGTTTACAGTGGTTGCAAAGTGTTCTCCACCTGCTACTACACATCTCCTTAGTAGGTCATGTTAGCAACGCCACATTATATGGCATCTTCTGGGACAAATTATCTGAACAACTGATGCTTAGACCTTGAGATGCTCCCACCCCTCTTTAATTATTTTGGTAATAACATTTCCAGTTTATGCCCTAATAGCCAGGACCATAATCCTCCTGTTTACACTTGCCAAATACCTAGGATAGGAAGCATGCACCCATGTGCTCAGCTTTATTGATTGAGATAGGGACTCTTGAACGTTTTTGCTTTGGCTGCCTTTGAACTACAAGGCCTTCTGATCTCTGCCTCCTGAATAACCATGACCACCACAGTCATGAGTCACTGTGCCCAGCTCTATTGACTTCTTTGTAAGAGATATTTACTCTCACCCTTTGTAGAAGCGACACAGTAGTCCCTTGAGGATATCTTTGTCCTAACTCCTGGAACCTGTGACTATCATCTTATATAGGGAATTTTGAAGACATGATTAAGGACCTAAAGATGGGGATATTACCTTAGGTGATGATGATGATGATGATTTGTGCCAGTCCTGGAGCTGGAACTCAGTACTGGGACATTGTCCCTGAGCTTTTTGTTGCCCAAGGCTAGCACTCTTCCACTTGAGGCAAAGCTCCACTTCCAGCTTTTTGGTGCTTAATTGGAAATAAAAGTCTAATGCATTTTCCAGCTGAGGCTGGCTTTGAATTCTGGTCCTCAGTTCAGCCTCCTCAGTATTTAGGATTATAGGCATGAGTCACCAGTGCTCAATTCTGAAGGAAGCAGTGTTACAAGATGCTGTGACAGTAGTTTTGAAGATGGAATAAGAGGTCAGGAACAGAGGGGTGGAGGAAGCTAAAAAAAGCTAAGAAACAGATTTTCTCCTGAAATCTCCAGAGGAAACAAGCCCTGGTGACACCTTGAGTTACCCCTGTAAGACCCATTTAAATTTCTGACCTCCAGAAGAGCCCTAGGGCACTGAGCCACCTTCTTAGCTCGAGGATGCTGCAGACAGTCTCAATGAGTGATAACTGGTTTCTCTCCACTTTCTTCTGACAGAGTAGTAAATGCCATTTAAGTTTCTCCTGCTAACTCTGGTCATTGTGAATTGGTTTGTGTTCTGTGACTTCGCCACAATGATTTCTTTGGGCACTTCCAAGGGTGAGTGGGATGGGGCTGAGCTCTATCCCCTAAATAAATCCACTCCATCATGCTCTAGTTGTGTGTTCCACTCACTTGTCAGCATGTTGACCTCCTTCTCTCCCGCCTGGCCGTGGCCTTAAATACTGCTTTTTCTTGGCTCTGTGGTTTCACTCGCCTGTCTCCTCTTAATCTGTACACTAGGAAACTATTTGCTCAGTATAAATTTTTGTGCCCATACTAGGGCTTGAATTCAGGGCCTCGTGCCCCCACTTTGCTTTTTTGCACAAGTCTAATGTTTTACCACTTAGGCCACATCTCCACTTCCAAGATTTTCATGGTTATTGCATGCAGATAAGAGTCCCTCAAACCAGCCTCCAATGGTTCATGTCCTTAGTTCTAGTTAATCAGGGAGGCTGAGATCTGAGGATTGTGATTTGAACCTAGTCTGGGCAGGAAATCTGTGAGACCTTTATCTGTAATTAATCACCACAAAGCTGGAAATGGAGCTGTGGCTTACGTAGTAGAGCACCAATCTTGAGCAGAAAAGCTGTGGGGGAATCAGAGGTCAAGTCCTGAATGCAAGTCCCAGCATTGTAACACACCAGAGTTTCTTGGATTTCTGTGCTCAGGCTGGCTTTGAGCCGTGATCCACAGATGTCAACCTTTTGAGTAGCTGGAATTACAGACCTGAGCCACTGGGACCTGGCTGACTGTAATTTTTAACTGCAACACGGACTTATGGCATCTGTTTGATCACTCAGAGGCCTTTTGCCTCCTGTAGTCACTATAGGATCTTAGTTGTGAGCATGGGGTAGTGACCTCTAGTTAGGTGCTTGCTTGGCTGTAAACAGACGCCCAACAGAGTATGGTCTTTTCCAAGCTTCTGCACAGACGTGGAACTGAGCAATAGTCAGAACTCTTGGTCATGGAGGTATTCTGCATGTCAGAGTATGGACAGGTCCTAGAGGCTTTTCAAAAATGTCCCCTGAATGAAACATTCGTTTTTGAACACTATCCTCAAGGGCTTAGCTGGCCCATTAGAGTTTGAGAAGCCTGTAGTCCCAGCCAGAGATCCAGCAGTAGGCAGTGGTGAACGAAAAGTTCTTGGTCTTTGTGTAGGGTATGTACCTTTAGTGGCTTCCCTCACTGGAGCAACGGGTGAGAAAGCATTTGAGGACTCTCTGGCTCACCTTCTCTCTGTAGGTATCAAGCTAGGAATGCGGTCCATTCCCATAGCCACTGCATGCACCATTTACCATAAGTTCTTTGGCGAGGTCAACTTGGATGCTTATGACCCTTACCTGGTTGCCATATCTTCCATCTACTTGGCTGGCAAAGTGGAGGAGCAGCACCTGCGTACTCGGGACATCATCAACGTGTCCAACAGGTACCACTGTTCTGGCATGTAGGAGGATATGCTGCAGAGAAGGTTTCTTTGGGTTTTGCACTCCACACACCTGCAGCCAAGCTTGGCCAGAAGTGGTTGCATGGCCTGATTCTGGCCCCAGAGCACAGCTGCAGAGGGAGGAGGGAGCCTAAGGTCAGGTGCCCATGGGCTTCTGTGGGAGGCAGCTTGACTGCAGTACAGGAAGCCCTAGAGGCTGCCCGAGGTGGAAGTGGGGCTTCAGCAGAGCGTGCTTGGAGAGGCATGATGTCAAACAGCGTCATCTGCAGCCCTAAGCAGTACAGGAAATGGGATGGCTAGAGGCTGAAGATCATGGGAGAGAACCTGTCCTGGTTGGGTTGTAAGGCCCCGCAGACCTGTGTGTCTACGACAGGGAGGATGTGACACTAGCCAGGCAACAGTTGTATTTAAGTGATACAAGAAACTGAGTCAGTGTCCACTGCCTAGGAGAATGTGTGTGGTGGACAGCACAGCTGTTCCTACTGAGGAAAGAGGCAGAGCCTCGCCACTTGGGGAGGCTGGGCCAAGAACTTGGGACCCAGGAGACAGTCATAAGATTTATGGAAAGTTACTAACTAGCTGTGTGTCATGGGCCTTTCCAGGAACTCTAATCATTAGGAAGAATACTTTGTTCTCCTTTTTTAATAAACAGGTAATGGAAAAAACACTCCCCACCCCTTAAGCCTGACAAGTTCACAGTATACAGGGAGAGGCTAAGATAAAAACAGGCACAGAGCTGAGGGAGGGCAGCTGGAGTCTACCTGTAATTGCCTGGCCCCCAGCAGGGAGGAGCAGCAGAAGGGGAAATTGTGTGGAGCCCTAATTAGATGTGGGCACAAGCTGGGGGGTTCTGAGGGGAACTTGGAAAACGAGTGAGCAGCCAGGATGAGTCATGGCAGAGAGTTGTGAGCACTTGAGTGTGAACCCTGTTCACACTCACCTTGGGGGTCTTTTATAGGATCTTTTTTATTGGGAGTGTTGTGGATGGATAGAGTATAGACAAGGACAAATCTTGAAGGAAAGACAGACAAATAAGAAAGACAAAACTAAAAACTGAATATATGTTCCCAAGCCATGTTGATATACTTTTCATCGGCCCAGAGAGAGCCTTAGGTGTTGTACAGCAGGTGGTGAAGACTTAATATTGTGTGTCGGTCAGCTGGCTTGGTGTGTTCATGTTTCCGGGCTCTCCGGAGCCATTGAATACAGTCAGTCTTTGTGCTTGGCATCTTGCTGAATAACAGTGGATGGCCCATCGGCTTAAACCTGTGAGCCAACTTCTTTCTTCTGACACACTTTCCATTATGTCTCTAGGCATTTTAACCCGGGCAGCAAGCCCTTGGAACTGAACTCACGATTCTGGGCGCTCCGAGACAGCATCGTGCAATGTGAACTCCTTATATTGAGAGTTCTGCGCTTCCAGGTCTCCTTCCAGCATCCACACAAGGTACATGTGTGCTAGGGAGCCGGCAGCTGTTTCCAGAGGCTGGAGTCATATTCTTTGCTCCGTAACCTAAAATTCACCCTGCCTAACTGTGCTTAGAAACTCATGAGAAAAGCCAAGCTGCTCTTTCTCCTAACACTACCTAGTTTCTATTGTGCCCTCTAGCCATTTAGATGAAGAATTATTTTATAAAAACATAAAACGATACATCAATCTACTGCGAGATACTGATTTGCACATGGACATACTGTGCCTTAAGGGCTTGGCTCATTGTTGTTGCCCCATTGCTTGGGGTAGAACATCATTTCAAATAGCAGCCCAGCGGCAGGCCCAGTCAGGAACACTTGAGTGTGCCGCTGGAGGAACACAGGTTTATGTGCAGGCATCTGGAAGGATTGCCTGCAGAGAGTAAGGAGCTGATCTTGGGGCTCTGCGCTACGATTCTGTTCCTTTTCCTTTTCAGTGGAGGTTTTTGTTTTTGTGTTTGTTTTTTGAGACAGCATCATTTTCTATGTAGCCTAGACTGGCCTGGAACTTCCTTAGTGTCCCAGGCTAGCCTTGAACTCATAACCATCCTTCCTTATTCTCCCAAGTGCTGGAAGTATAGACATGTACCACCGTATTCAGCTAAATGGTATTTTTATTGAGGCAATTGGAGATTCACAAGCAGGAATAATCCACAGTGAGGCCATGTGTCTTTTGCCCAGCCACTGCCAGCAGGAACACTTTGCTGGACTATAGCACAGGATGTTGATACAGATACATTGCACTGGTTTCCTGGGTATTTAATTCCATACAGTTTTATCACTTCTTACATTCACATGTCCACCACCATAGTCCAGGTGCAAAAACAACTCCATCTGCACAAGCGTCTCTCCCTGACCCCTCCACATCCCTCCCTAGCGCAGAAATCTCTGTTCTTGGATTCTCACACAGTAATTTTTAGTCAGAAGAATGCCTGATCAGCATCCCAGGAGGAAGTGGGAGCTGTGCTGGCAGCTGGAGAGTGGGGTTGTCAAGGCGACAAGGCTTAGAAAGGAGCAGCGTTCTGGCCTTGGAGGCTTTTTGATCTGGTCCTGGATCAGAGTGGATCGTAGGCCTTACTGGAACCTGCAGCCCCCTCCCTCCCTCTAGCAGGGTGACAGTCTAGATACCATGAGTTGTCCCTTTAAGGTGTGGCTGGGTCACATGCAGCCATAATACCTGGCACTGTGGCTTTTTGACCTGTTGGAGATTGTCCAAGTGTCTGTACACGGTGTAAAGTTCAGGCCAAGTGTCTTGTCTCCCTCCCCTTTTAAAAATAATATACTTTTTAAAATTAGCTCATGTTAGTTACACAGGGGTGATTTCATTACTACATTTCCACCCATGTTTATAATGTATTCTAATACATCTTACTCCCTCCGTCACACTCTCTTTCCTCCTAAAGATTTTCTTTTTGTGTCAGAACTAGGACGTTTAACTCATGGCCCTTTCATGCAGCTTTCTTTTTCTTTTCTTCCTTTTTTTTTTTTTGGGTGCTAGTCCTGGGGCTTGAAGTCAGGGCCTGGGCGCTGTCCTTGAGCTCTTTTGCTCAAGGCTAGCATTCTACCACTTGAGTCACAGCTCCACTTGTGGCTTTTTGGTGATTTATTGGAGATGAGAGTCTCACAGACTTCTCTGCCTGGGTTGGCTTCGAACCAGGATCTTCAGATCTTAGCCTCCTGAGTAGCTAGTATTACAGTCATGAGCCACCTGTGCTCAGATTCATGCAGCCTTCTTGCTCACAGTTGGCACTTTACCACTTGGGGTACACCTCCAGTCCTTTCTTCTTTTGTTACTTTTCATATAAAGCCTCACGTTTTTTGCTCAGGGCCAGATTAGACTGTGATCCTTCTACTCATGCCTCCTATATAGTTGGTATTACATGTGTATGTGTGTCACCATGCTTGGCTTATTGATTGAGATGGGGTTTCCCTAACTTTTTGCCTGAGCTGACCTCAAACTGCATTCCTCTCTGATCTCTGCTTTCTGAGTAGCTGGGACTACAGATGTGAACCACTATTCCTGGCCCAAGTGTCTGTCTTCTAAGAGGTCAGTACCTCCCGGCTCAGAGATTGTGAAGATGTATAAGAGGCCAGTACTACTTTAGGTCCTTGGCTCAGACTCAACAAACATAAACACTAGTCTGTGGCCTTCCTGAAAGCATTGTGCCCAGGGCGGGCCAGGTACACCAGTGTTATGCTCTCTGTTCTGCAGATAGGGTGCTATTGGCTGCTGCTCTGGGCCTCAAGTGGTTTCACGTGCTGGCCTGAGCAGAGCCCTGGGATTGAGGAGGATTATGATGTGGAGGCTGTTAAGAATGGCCTGAGCAGGTTTCCTGGCCTGAGTATGGAGGCCAACAGTGGGCAGGCGTGTAGGGATTGATTTCAGCAGAATGCCAAGGGCAAAGGCCCGGAAGTAGTGTGCTGGATACGTTGACATGGCGGGCAGATGTGGTAAAGGCACTAGGAGATAAGGGCAGAGAGGATGGCAGGGTTTGGCAGCTGGCAGATGGCTTTGGGGCTTTTTCCTCAATGACATGGGTGCCATTGGAGGGCTTGAACAGGGTGGCGGCATGATGGTGATGGTTTGGGGAGAGTGGCATGAGGGGGGCGGAGCCCCAGGCAGAGCCACTGATGCGCATGTCTTTGCAGTACCTGCTTCACTACCTGATATCCCTGAAGAACTGGCTGAATCGTTACACCTGGCAGCGGACTCCCATCTCTGTCACAGCCTGGGCGCTGCTGCGGGATAGCTACCATGGAGGGCTGTGCCTCCGATTCCAGGCTCAGCACCTAGCTGTGGCAGTGCTCTACCTGGCTCTACATATCTATGGAGTTGAGGTGCCTGCTGAGTCCGAGAGTGAAAAGCCATGGTGGCAGGTGAGGTGACTTCTCAATACACTGAACTGTCCTTTCCCTTTAGAAGCCTTTCCAAATCGCTGCTCACTGGTTTCTTTCTTTTTTTTTTTTTGGTCGGTCATGGTGATTGAACTCAGGGCTGGGGTTCTGTCCCTGAACGTTTTTACTTAAGGCTAGTGCTCTACACACTTTGGGGCACAGAACCACTTCTAGTTTTCTGATGGGTAATTGGAGATCAGAGTCTCATGGAGACTTTTTCTGCCCAGGCTGGCTTTGAACCACAACCCTCAGACCTCAGCCTTCTGGTAGCTAGGATTATAGACATGAGCCACCAGCACCTGGCCTAGTTTCTCTTTATTAATCATCCATGAACAAAGCTGTTGGTCACTAGAAAATATCTGTTATGCTAGGTGTGGCAGTTCAGCCTTTTGATCCCAGCTATCAGGAGGTAGAGATTGGGAGGATTGTGATTTGAGACAAGTCTGGGCAAAAAGTTCACGAGATCCCATTTCAACAAATAAGCCGTGTGATCTCAGCACAAGAGAGGCCCAAGGTCAGTAGGCATGAGGATAGTAGTCTGAGGCCAGTTCCTAGCAAAAATGTGACACCCTACCTGAAAAGTAACTAAAGTGACAAAGGGCTGGCTCAGGTGGTAGAGCACCTGCCTAGCAAGTGCAAGGTTCTGAATTCAAACCCCAATACTGAAAAAAAGTAAATTTTTTGTAATAGTTCATGGTTGGGGCTCACCCCCTTGTGCTCTGGCATTTGGAGCCTGGTCATTCTTTGCAATAAGGGCTCTTAGGTATTGATCAACAGCCCTGGCCTCCACCCAGGCACTCAAAATCTTCTGGAGCAGAGATTGTCCCAGTCGAGAACCTCTGAGCTAAGTCAGCACATTCAAATACTGGATTGAGAGGAACTTACATAGATCAAGAGGTTAATAAATTTGGCTTACTCTCAGAAGTAGGGGGTGTTTCTTGGCAAAGATAGATGGGTAGACAAGAGGGAGGGAGGTAATTGATTACACACAGAGATGGATAGGCAGATACTGGTAAGTAGATGATGGGTGCATGCATGCATGCTATTTAGTAGCTGCTATTTAGGAAGGTAGATGGATAAAGTAGATGGTAAGTAGGTAACTAACTAGCTAGATTGACGAATAGATGATTGAGTTCTCTATTTCAATCAGACCTGTTGAGTCAAGTGTTGTTGGTACAAAAGTGTGTTGAAATCTAGCCATTGGGAGAGCTCTGCAGGTAACATAGGTGCCACTGCAGAAAGGTATGTCTTCCTAACACACTGCCCGGATCTCTGTTTTTTTTTGTTGTTGTTGTTGGTCATGGGGGCCTGAACTCTGGGCCTGGGCGCTGTCCCTCAGCTCTTCAGCTCAAGGCTAGCGCTCTACCACTTGAGCCACAGCACCACTTCCGGCTTTTTCTGCTTATGTGGTGCTGAGGAATCGAACCCAGGGCCTCAGGCATGCAAGGCAAGCGCTCTACCACTGAGCTACCTTCCCAGCCCCTGACCTCTGGTTTCTTATCTATCCACTCCTGCCTAGGTCTAACTCATAATTGGTGCTTGGGGTCGCAGTCTGAGGCCAGGAGCACCTGTAAGGTCCTATGGTGGGGGTAAGAGCATCTGTATGTGTTCCATGCTCACTTTTCTTAGAGACTGATAACAGGATTCAGTGGTGTTGCTTGGTTGGAATGAAGTGCCAGAGAGGCTGTCACTTGCTGGCTCTGCTCTCTGAGGACATCTGGTGGTCACGGTGGCTCTGTCACTCAGCTGTAATGTCCCTTGTTTTTCCTTGTGCTGCCTCTCCATTTCACTTTCCTTCTATTCTTCCTTCACTAGCTATAACTTCATCTGAAGCACGAGCACTGTCTCTGTGCCCCATATTCAGCCCTCCCAAGAAGAGCTCTAGCTGTACTGGCCCAGCATAGCTGGGAATGGCCCTGCCATAAACCTGCTTTCTGGGCCACACAGATTGGCCCAGTTTTTACTCAGCTTGGGAAGAAGTTGCCATTTTGAGTGGCAGATAGATGTTTACCCAGCTCTTTTTTTTTGGTGCCTGTCCTGGGGCTTGAACTCAGGGCCTAGGCACTGTCCCAGAGCTCATTTGCTCAAGACTAGTGCTCTACCACTTGAGCCACAGCTCTACGTCTGGCTTTTTGGTAGTTAACTGCAGATTAGAGTCTCATAGCCTTTCCTGACTGGACTGGCTTGGAACTACAGTTGTCAGAGCTCAGCTTTCTGAGTAGCTAGGATTATAGGCATAAGCTCACCCAGATTTTTTAAAGGCCTGCCAGACTTGATTTCACCTTTCTAGGTAGATCAGGGTGCAGGAACTGGAAGTTTCCAGAATGCCAATGTCCCTTTGGGCAGGAGAGGCGCAAGGGCCAGTTTTCTTGAAGTGAGCTATTTGTGCACAGACATAGGAAAGCTCAGGTGTTATTTGAAGCACTTTTCTCCTCATGTCCTCTCCACTGCTACTTCTTGCTGTAGCTAACCTCAGGTGTCACTTGTCACCTGTGGGCTTAGCACCCGAGCAGCCTGCCTGCCAGAGTACACACACACACGCCGAGGGTTGGCCAGCCTCTGGAGGTGTGACACAAGACACTGGGGGATGGTACCGGTGCAGGTCACATGGCCTTGTCGAAACTTCTATCCCCAGATCTGCACCTGGGGCCGCCCCTGCCGCCCCCGCCCCCGTGCCCTTTGCCTGAAATTAGGGAGACTTGCTCATCTCTAGCCACTCTAGCTCTTTGTTGTATGGCCAAACATACCATCTGAGTGGGAAGTTGAAATTCTAAGACTAGTGGAATCAAGCCACCAGGTCCCTCTTGGTCCAAGAGGCTAGTAGCGTTGTTTCAGGTCTTGAGGATGTGTCTTTTGGACACATGCCCCACCATTGTCACCTACCCTGAAATATTTTTCTTAAGCTGTGATAGATCACCATTTTTAAGTGGCATTAAACACACGGACATTTCTGTGCAATCATCACCATCATCTTCTCCAGAACTCTTAGATGCAAAACTGAAACCCTGCCCGCATTAAACACTCCCTCCTCCCCAGTGCCTGGCATGCACCCACCATCTACTGTGTGAGGATCTGATTCTTCTAGGCACCATCTAGAAGCGAAATCGTGCAGCATTTGTCCTTTTACACCTGGCTTAGTTCACTGAGCATTGTAACCTCACAGGTCACTGCACTGCAGCCTGTAATGCCATCCTCTTCCTATTAAAGCTAGAATGATAGTCCATTTGTGGATGGGCATATGTACCCAGTTTTTAATGGTCATGTTGACAAGCCTGGAGTTTTGAATACAGAACCCACCCAGAACCCAGGGAGGTAGAGCTATGCTTGCTGAGATAGGAATGAAGGGTTTCCATGTCACACTGTCTGCCATCTGAGGATGTAGGCCATTGTGGGGGGGGTCTATTTCTATAGGGGGCTTAGAAAAGATGGACTTGGTCTAGTTCTTGTCTTTTGTTTAGCTCAAGACCTTGACCTCTTCGCTACTTTGTTTCTCTAGGCAGCAACCTTCCTGGAGTAGCATGACTATGGCATCTACCTGGGGCTTGTTGTTGGGGGTGGGAGGTCCCCCAGAGTACCCTCAGGCTTCCTTCTCTAAGGAGACTCACCCACAGAGGGCCGCCATACAGTTCATGATAGTGAAAGGACACAGGTTAAGATCAGCCAATCTACCAGCTCCTTAGGGCAGAGGTGAGGAGAGGCCATGTGTGAGCTTCTGGTGCCTCCCAGGAAGTGGTGTTTGTGCCGTCAGTGGTGTGGGGCAGCACGCACAGTACTGTCAGTCTGGAAGTTCACCAGGGCTCTGGGGTCTGGGATACCATGTGCTCCAAGGCCCCCACCTGTATCATAACACCAGTACAGAGTACCTGGCAGGGTTCCAGGCCCCAGGTAAACATGAACATGACACTCTCCTCAGGCAGGATTTGACTGGAGGATTTTCTGGGTACCAGGCATAGACCCACATCTGCCTTGAGGGTGGGGAGGGTGGAGGTTGTGGTCTTAAGGCCTGTGAGTTGGCCCTGCATTGCACATTACTCTTGATTTGGGCCCTCAGGGATAGGTCTCAGCCTCAAGTGTATCTGTACATTGGCTCTGGATGTCTATTCTAGGGCTTGCTCCAGCCAGGCTAGATGGGAGTGGGGTCCAGGTTATAGAATCAGACAGTTTCTGGGAAACAACATAGCGAGTCTCCCACCCTCTCCTCTAGACAGCCCCACATTGGAGTCAAGAACCTGTGCTTTGGGCACAGATCTATTTCCAACTCCCTGTGTAACTTTGGCCAAGTTCCCTATCCTGTGTAATGCAAGTGATTTACAAAGCCTTTTCCATCTAGAATGTTCTCCGCTTTGAAAGTCTTTGATCAGCCTCAGTAGTCTGAACTGATTTGGCAGGAGAGCCACCATCCTCGGGACACACAAATCCCTGAGGCTCCTACCCTCCCCAGAAACTGCCATCCTGTGCTTGTAGTGGGTACTTCATTTAACACACAGAGAGAGACTAATTGGAACTTTTTTTCCTTCTCCTTTCTAGGTGCTTAGTGACGACCTTACCAAGCCAATCATTGATAATATTGTGTCTGATCTCATTCAGATTTATTCCATGGACACAGGGATCCCCTAGCCCTGGCCCAGGCCTGCCCAAAGAGAAGCCAGGATGGTCGGCTGCCTGGGGATGGTGCCGCTATGTTGCTGTGACGGCCAGTCCTGGGTGACTGGTTACACTGCTGGAGACGGGCTGGTGAAGGTGATGACATGCTGCGCCCTTGACTGTCCCCAGCAGCCTGGGTCCAGAGGATGGCAGGACCGCGCCTCCAGCCGGCAGGCTGAGGGGTCAGGTCATGTGACTGCCCTGATGTGACCGCATCTGTCCTTTCCCTTTGACATGACTCTGACTGCAACAGAGGTGGGGAGTCACTGGCAGGAAAGTCAAAGAACAGAAGGGACTGCACTCCTTGGGCTTTTTTTAAAAGCCAGATTTATAGGAAGTATGAATGTGCAAGATAGATGGAATTTTATTTTGCGTAATAAAAATGATGCAAATCCACAGAGACGTTCCCTTATCTTTGCTTTGCAGTCCGTGCTGCCCTTGGAGGGTACCTCTTGTGCTCTGGGATATTCTTCGCTTCCAACTTTCTGTGCTAAGTGGGGGTCCTGGAACCACAGGGCAGGGGTGCTGGCCTGCTTGGGACTGTGAGTCTGGCCATGGGGACAGCTCAGAGGATCACTGGAATTTGGTCACAGTGTAGCACAAAGTCCGAAGGCAGAGGTTCTCCCTCCTCCAGTCCTGGGGCTTGAACTCAGATTCTAGATAATGTTCCTGACCTTTTTTTTTTGTGCTCAAGGCGAGTGCTCTACCACTTTGAACTAAAGTTCCACTTCCTGCTTTTTGTGGTTAATTGAAGATGAGTTTCACAGACTTCTGCCTAGTCTGGCTTTGAACCACAATCCTCAGATCTCAACCTCCTGAGTAGCTAGCATTACAGGTGTGAGCCACTGGTGCCCCACAGGATTCCATTTTCTACTGAGATGGCATGGAGCAGAATGTCTTCTGAGATCCTCTGGGACACTCAGTCACTTTGCTTCTCTTCATAGCTTTCCAGAGTAGCTTGGGACGCAGTGCAGTTGTTCACCACATGGGCTGGTCAGAGATACTTCTGTATGCAAAGGCAGTTCCTTTCTTAACCATATCTATTGCTGAGAGGCACAGAGGCATGTCTGAAAGGATGAGCCCTCTAACTTGTGTGAGTATGCTCAGGGTGATGCCTCACATTAGGCCTCTGTGGACTCTGTGCCTCTATTCTGCCACCAACACACAGACGCAGCACTGGCCAGCCTGGGGGAGCACAAGCAGTTCTTCCAGGTGAGCCAGGACTGGGGAGGGGAGAGTACACTGTGAGCCAAGCTGCCTCTGTCTGCCATCCTGCATCCTTTCTATGGCCATGGATAGCAGCCTGTGATGTGGAATCCTCACCCTACCCCTCGTCAGCTCAAGGATATGGTGTTCTGCATGCTGCTTCCTTTGCCACCTGCTCTCCAGGGCTCACACTTTACTTTTCCTTCTTAATTATACATTTACACATATGTATATATGTATATTTATAATATATATGTTATATATTTTGTGCCGGTCATGGGGCTTGAACTCAGGGCCTATGTGTTCTCCCTGAGCTTTTGTGCTCAAGGCCAGTGCTCTACCACTTGAGCCACAGCTTACTCCCCTTAATTCTTTAGACTTAGACAAGAGATGATCCTGGATTATGCATAGCCTGTGTTCCCAATGCTGTGTCCATAGACATAGTAAGAGTTCATTTGGACTGGGAGCTGGTGGCTCAGGCCTGTAATCCTATCTACACAAGAGCTGAGGTCTGTGGAGCACAGTCCAAAGTTAGCACAAGACAGGAATGTCTGTGAAACGTTTACCACGAATGAATCAGCAAAAAAGCTGGAAATGGAGCTAAGGCTCAAGTGGTAGAACACTAGCCTTCAGCAAAAAAAAGAAAAAAAAGTTTGAGCCATAAGAATGATATTCTCAGCTCTTAAGAAAGCATAGCCCTCCTTTCCAGAAACTTCTGTTTCATGTACAACACCCCTCCCCCCCCCCGCTCTTACCAGCACCTCTCAGGGAATAGCAGTAAGAAGGGGGCTCATTAATTGGTGCTCCACAGGAGAGTCACAGACCTCTCCCAGTGGAGTGTTGGAGTGTGGCCCCCATCCTGGAGTGCCCAATCCTACAAGACTCAACATTTGTTTCCTCTCCTGATGAACAAGTAGCAGGTAAGTTTCTTTTTTATCATGAGACGTGGTTTCCACTTTGTGGTTGCTACTTTGAAATCATTCCGTGTGCTATGTGCCTGTCACACTGCCCAGGACACTCGCTAACTTTGTTCAGTGTTATTTGTGTTCTGGCCTCTGTGCCTGTCACCTCAGACTGTATGTCCTTTTTTGATGTATGTGTCAGGGCTAGAGAGACAGTGTGGATGAAGTCTTGCTTTGCATCATACAATTAAAGTCTAATTGTAAGGAGTTAAATTGTTATAGAATGAGGTTTTTCCTGTTTTCACTTTTCTTCTTATGAAAGATTTGGTTCAACATTTAGGCATAAAAAGGTCAGCAAAGGGCTGGGAAGGTGGCTCAGTGGTGGAGCGCTTGTCTTGCATGCCTGAGGCCCTGGGTTCGATTCCTCAGCACCACATAAGCAAAAAGAAAAAAGCCGGAAGTGGCGCTGTGGCTCAAGTGGTACAGCGCTAGCCTTGAGCTGAAGAGCTGAGGGACAGCGCCCAGGCCCAGAGTTCAGGCCCCACGAC